ATACCTAAGAAAATTAATATTTGTTCCATGGAATCCATATTAAGTTTTTTTAAAGATTTTTTTTTATTTGAGAGGTAAAGCTACAGAGAGGGAGACAGAGAGAAAGGTCTTCCATCTGCTGGTTCACTCCCCAAATGGCCACATTGGCCAGAGATGGGCAGATCTGAATCCAGGAACCAGGAGCTTCCTCCCAGTCTCCCATGTGGATGGAAGGGCCCAAGCACTGAGGCCATCCTCTACTGCTTTTCCAGGCCACAGCAGAGAGCTGGGTTAGAAGAGGAACACCCGGGACTAAAACCATTGCCCATGTGGAATGCCAGCGCTGCATTCCAATTTTTTTAGATGTCCCAATAATGAATTTTATAGTTGTTTTTTTCTCCAATCTAGGATCTAGTCATGATTCATGGGCTGTATTGGGTCTCCTAATGTGGAATAGATCTCCCACTCTAAGCCTTTTTCCCTCATGACTTTGACTTATGAAGAGTTTAGGGAACATACTTTGTAAAATCTCCCACGTTATGAAACTGTTTGTATTCTGGTGGTATAATTTAACGTTTTCCTTTATTTCACCTAATTCCTATTAAGTGGGAGTTGGGTTTACACATTTAATTAGATTCAGTTTAAACACATCTGTCAAGACTGTTTCATCGGCATTGTTATCTACTTCATGCATTAGGAGGTACATGATTTCAGCTTTCCATTATTAGTGCTCCTAAATTTATTGACTTAATCTGGGTGGCGACCATCAGATTTCACCATTTAAAGTACACCTTTGCTTTGCTATAAGTAAGTAATCCTGACACCGTATGAATGTCTTATTCATTAACCTTTCACCTCATGGTTTTAGTATCCATTAATGATCCTTGTCTGAAGTACATTGGGAGTTTGTAAAATGGTCATTTTGAAACTTTGACCGTTCTTTCTAAGCACTAGCATCCTTCTGTAAAGACAACCTTCGAATTTCTTCCCTTCTACTTTTTCTCCTGTTTTGATGTCTCACTATGAACTGGTGGATTTTTATCTCTTCTATTTTCTATTAATAGTGTAGCTAATTTACTTTAGTGTTCAAATTGACCAAATTTGGCCATGAGTCTTCCTCAAGCTAGCTCCTATTCCTGTGACAAGACTGTATCTGATTATCTTTGAGCACTTCCTTGTTATTATACCGTAAAAAGTTGTTTCATGCTCACTTTGTACTTTGCTTACCTAGAATGGAATTCAGCCATTTTTCCAAAGAATTCTGTTTCTAAAAATATTTTTTTTAAATTTACTGATTCACCTTTTTTCCACTCACAGAAGCTTCCCTTTGCTTCTGCATTAGGTTAGGATTACTAAATTCCAGATCCAAGTTTCTCAGGTGTCAGAGAAAGGGTGAGACCAGGTGATGCGGATGCACTCTTCAATTCTTGAAGCGTAAGCCAACCTCTCCCCTCTCCTTTGACAGCCCAGTAAGGGTACGTCAGTCTCTGAGTCTTCCTCTTTCCACCTCAGGTTTTTCTGTCATACAGAGTTTTTCAATGTTCATCTCTCTCTTCATTCTGCTTTGATCTTTAGTTTTATTTTTCTATGTAATGCATTTTGGAACGAAGACTTTAAACTTTGTAAAATGACCATTTCACACAACCATCTCAGATAATTAATTCAGTATTTAGGTTTTGATGTGATCTTGCTTAATAGCAATTTATGTTTTTTATGTTTAGGTTATATAAAGACTCTCTCTGAAGAGATTGTGATGACGGCTGTTTTGTTCAGTTTTTAAATAGTGGTTGACAGACTCCAGTGTGTTAAATTCATGTCATGGTTTGCTGTACTCTTTCCCTTAGGTTCGTTTTTCTATGTCTACTGCATTTTTTCTGTCAGTTGGCCAGGACGGAGTCAAATATATCTTCTCTTCATTGTACCCCCCAAATCAGTGAAGAGGGCCTTTTACCTGCATTTTCCTAACATAAATCTCTCTCCAGATGGAGAGCTGAAATCTCATTGTGCTAGGGAGGAAGGAAAGGGGGGATATTTTGAAAGCTGGTGAATCAAGAAAGACATAAAAAATTGATAAAGGTAGGACTACCTGTTTTTATATTCTGCCACATAGCATGTGTTTAAATGAATTTGCCTATAATTTGTCTCAAATGCTGACATTTAACTCCTAGGCTGTATAATTGGGCTTGATTTTTCCAGAGTAAAATTCACACTCTGTGACCAGACTAATATGTTCACCTACTATAAACATTACTGCCTATGGTAACAACTAGAATAAAAAATTCTTTTTATATACATAATAGCTAGCAGAGACTCCTGGAGCCTCCACAAATCATTTCTGTCTTTTGGAGCTCCCTGACAAAAAGTGAGGAAATGTAAAACCAGCCTGGTCCAAGATAGATGGACTCTGAAAACTTACTAGCTTATTTAGACACCACTCATACTATTGTTATTGTTTTTTTTTAAGTGCCAGGCATTCAACAAGCTGTTCTAATTAATGTATTGTCTAAGCCTTGTAAACTGTTCTTTCATTGTGAACCAGCTCTTCTTCTATGTAAGCTATCACTGACTGCTTTTTTGTTGTTGTTATTAAAGTTTAATAATGAAAATAATCAAGCAATTGGTTATTTATGCAGTCATGATTGGCAAAAGTTATTAGAACAGGAATCTTCCCAGAAGCGATGATTAGATTATGGAACTGTTAGGAATGCTGAAATCAATCACCATTCCCACTCTTATTCATGATGACCTGTTGTAAAAGAGTTTATACAGAATGATCCCACTGGAAAGTGATTACTTTACCAAGAGGATGCAAAATTAAATGTTAAGGGGGAGATTCAGGAATGGTCTGAAGGAAAAGGGGTCCTGGGGAGGAAGTTACCACACTGAGAAGTAAGGAACAAAACTGTTAGATGGGATTCTCAGACACCTGATTATTTAGTAGTAGTACCCTGTGTACAGTGTAAGTTTTAGGAGCTGTGAAAGAGAGTACCCCAGGTTATGTTGCCATATTTTTAATACCAGACTATAAAAAATGTGGAGAGGCATCTGGGCAGAAAACTTCATGGTGGTAGTTTTATTAAGGAAACATTCACTTAACCGGTGTTGTGCAAAACAAAACCATGACACATGTCAACTTATAATCCCTTTATGTTTAATGTAAATAGGAACTTCCTTTGTAAATTAAACAACAATGATACTACTCCTGCCCCCATTTTTTTTTAAATAATAACTTTATTGAGATATAATTCACCTATACTAAAATGTACCCTTTTGGAGTATATAATTAAGTGGTTTTGAGTATATCCCTAAAGGTATACAGATACCTTCAGTATCTAATTTCAGAACATGTTCATTACCTTCTCCCTAAATCTGGTACCTATTAGCAGTTACTCCTCAGTTCCTTACCCAGTCCCAATCCCTAGCAACTACTGATTTACATTCTGTCTGTATGGATTTGCCCATTTTGGACATTTCATATAAATGAGGCCATACAATATGTGGCCTCTTTTTGTCTGGCTTCTTTCATTCAGCATAAAGTTTTCAAAGTTCATTCCTGTTGCAGCATATGGCAGTACTTGATTCCTTTTTATGGCCAAATAATATTCTACTGCACCAGTATTCCACAGTTCCCCATTTTGTTTATCCAGTTATCAGTTGGTAGACATTTAGGCTGCTTTCACTATTTCGCTGTTATTAATAGTGCTGCTCTGAATACACACATGGAAGTTTTTGTGTGGATTTCTGTTTTCAACTCTCTGGAGTATGTATCTAAGAGTGGAACAGCACACACCGGGTTCTAGTCCCGGTCGGGGCACCGGATTCTGTCCCGGTTGCCCCTCTTCCAGGCCAGCTCTCTGCTGTGGCCCGGGAGTGCAGTGGAGGATGGCCCAAGTCTTTGGGTCCTGCACCCACATGGGAGACCAGGAGAAGCACCTGGCTCCTGGCTTTGGATCAGCGCAATGTACCAGCCGCAGCGCACCAGCCGCAGTGGCCATTGGAGGGTGAGCCAACAGCAAAAGGAAGACCTTTCTCTCTGTCTCTCTCTCTCACTGTCCACTCTGCCTGTCAAAAAAAAAAAAAAAAAAAAAAAAAAAAAAAAAAAGAGTGGAACAGCTGGCTCACAACGTAACTGTCTAACTTTTGAAACACTGCTAAGTTATTTTCTAAAGAGTCATCACAATTTACAGTCCCATTAGCTGTCCAAGAGGGCTCCAGTTAATCCATTTCCTTGTCGACACTTGTATTATTAGTCTTTAATTATCGTTGATTTGAAGTAGTATTTTATTGTGCTTTTGATTTGTGTTTCCCTAATGGCTGATTATGTTGAGCATCTTTCCTTGAGCTTCTTGACCATTTTTATACTTTCCTTAGAAGTATTTATATTTTCTTAGATATGTGTAGTCAAAGCCTTTGCTCTTATTAAAAATTGGGTTAATAGTCTTGTTGAGTTGTATGAGGTCTTTATATATTCTGAATACTGGTCTTTTATCATATATATGATTTCTAAATGTTTTTCTCTCATTCTGGAGGTTGTCTTTCCAGTTTTCTTGTAGCACAAAAATTTTGAAATACAATTATTTTTTTCTTTGATTGTTCATGGTTTTAGGTGATCATCTAATTCAGGGTCACAGAGATATAATTTCATGTTTTCTTCTAAGGGTTTTATAGTTTTAACTCATATTTAGATCAGTGAACCACTGTCAGTTGGTTTTTATATTGTTTGATAGGGGTTCCCTTGCAAGTATCTGCAAGTATTTTATTTATTGAAATTTAAAGAATTAAGAGATATATCTCTTCAAATGAGACAGCTGTCACTGCTCTGAGAATTACTATTTTATGATTTGGGGGAAGATGGGTACATAAACTGTTTTCTTCTGAAGACTTTATGCTCAGCTGTTTTCTCACTAAATAGTATTGCATTTCTGTCTCTGTTTTGTTTCTTGGAATTTGAAAAGTAGCATCAGTGGATGCAATTTTAAGCCATTTTTTTAGAGTTTTTTTCCCTTAACTTGTAATCTCACCTCTTCAGCTACAGTATAGAGAATGCCAAGAACTTCTAAGCCTCTATCAGAAATATTTGTCAGAACAGCAGGAGAAGCTCTCCATGTCTCTCTCTCAACTTGGTGCTGCTAGAATGCAAGAAGAACAGGTAAGCATCTTTGTTCTCACTTTTGTTGTCTTTAATAGGTCAGCAAGCCACCAGAAGAGTCATGTACCATTCATGTTAATTTGGCTTATGATATAGAATATCACTTTAAAACATTCAAATGCAGCATGGGGTTGAACTGGTATCTTTTACCTCCCTCTTTCCTTTTTATCTCCTGTTCTCGGGGCCCAGAGGTCAGGATTGATTACTTGAATCAGGATGTAAGCCACTGGGGAAGCCCCTGGTTGTTAAAACCACAGAAGGAATGGTGAAGAAAACCCATTACTCTGTTTCTTGATGAAGATCAGGTAGCTGTTTGTTGCTGATTGTCCTTGTGGAAAACACTAAGACTTGCCAGATTCGCATTTACAATTTTTAGAATAATCAGAGTGACTTGATGACTTATAAAAATGTGTGCTGGGGAAAATTGGAATATTTTATACATCTGTATATATGCATTAAACATCTGAAGATATATGATAGTATTTATGTGTAAGTATTTATATACATATCACAAAATGGCATGCATTATATCATTAAATAAGTGTTTAGAACCCTACCAGTTGTGATGTGAAGCAGACTCTAAAGATACACTTCTTACCCTCTAACAACTAGTACCTGATGTCTTTTTTATATACATGAGTTGAAATCTCCAAATAGATGAAGATAAGTCTTAAGGATTACATTAAAGTGTTGAAGCAAGAACTATGTAGAAAGATCAAACTCATTCATATTAAGTATCAAACTATGTATAACTTAATTAAAGTACTTCCTTCTCCTTTGAATATTATCAAGTACTAAAGATCAGCTGTAGGGTATTTTTCAAAGAGCATCATTGCTTATTGCTTTTCAAGCTAGAGACAACAGTTTCAGATACTTGTATGGAAACTACAGGTTTTCTTTAAGATCTTATTTATTTATTTGAGAGGTAGAGTTACAGACAGTGAGAGGGAGAGACAGAGAGAAAGGTCTTCCATCTGTTGGTTCACTACCCAAATGGCTGCAACGGCTAGAGCTGTGCTGATCCGAAGCCAGGAGCCAGGATCTTCTTCCGGGTCTCCCATGTGGGCCATCTTCCACTGCTTTCCCAGGCCATAGCAGAGAGCTGGATTGCAAAAGGAGCAGCTGGGACTAGAACCGGTGCCCATATGGGATTCTGGCGCTGCAGGCGGAGGATTAACCTACTGCACCATGACGCCAGCCCCAGAAACTACAGTTTTGAATCTAAAGTTTGCCCATATGAAAAAATAAAAAGAATATTTTTGCTGGAATGTGATATAGCTGAGACTTATATCCTATTTTTTGTAGTCACACTTTTTTTTTTTTTTTTTTTTTTTTTTTTGGAAATAGCCGAAGTGTGAATGATGTATTTATATCCAATTTGATATTGTTACAAAAAATAAGATCAGGCTGCTCCCTACTGGAAGGCCAGTACTTGAGAGATAGGAGTTGATTCAAGGAAATAAGTCTATTCAAGAGGTGGGCAACTTGATGAGGTGGCAGATATAATTGTCATCAAGACCATCTCAGATTCTCAAGGAGGCAGGAGAACTTTTGAAGAGAACACAAAGGGGAGCCAAAGGGGGAGTCTGGAACCAGGGGAACCAGTTACAGGTTGGCCTCTGGTCGGGTGATTAGGGACTGGTTGGAGTCACAGTAGTTGCCGTCATCCTTCAGTCATAAATCCAGTCCTCTGGTCATGCTGACTGGGGCCAGCCAGATTACTTTGCAATTTCAGCTGGCTTTCTCAAGGCCAGTTTCTGGAATTCTCAAGCACGCATCATTTATCTGTTAAGTTAACCTCAAGTCTGATTAGTTGCAATGTCAGCAGTTAGCTAGCTTTTTTTTTTTTTTTTTTTTAACAAAATGGAATCATTTGAGCTGTTGCTACAATATACTTTCTTTTGTCCTGAAAGCCTAGATTATAAAATGAGTTGGAGGAAGGTGGCAATTTATTTTGATTGTTTATATAAATTTTCTCTGCCACTTTGAAAGCAGGACAGGCAGTTTTAAAGTGGCCCTTGCCTATTGCTCTTGGATGAGCTGGAAAAATTGTTAGTGTGAAGATCACATTTCTAACCTTTGTTTTTGCATTTTTACTTTCCCCCTTTCCTTGTGGTGGGTGTGTGTAGAAGACACAAAACTGACTGACAACCCATGTCGCCAAAGGTATGGGAGGGGAAATGCAGAAACTTCTTTTTTATACATTGTAGTGGTCTTGTTACCTTAAGAATGTAGACTGAGAGTCAAGAATTAGTCACTAGGGGGCCCTAAAGACATCTGGATAAGAAGGCCTAACATTTTTTTCCTATTTATTTCTGAAATTAGAAGAAAATAAAGCTTTCTCACATGTTAATGATTTATATTTAAGCTAGTAATTTCTTGGAGGTTTCACTTAGAGACCAATCATATTTAATACTATCTCCCTTTTCCTTAACCTTGAGGTACAAAACTCAAAAATATCACAAGTAGTAGAATCAAAGTGTTGGTCAAGTCCATGGAGAGACCCTACCCACAAAAAGAGAGACTTGAATTTTCATTTTGACTTAGTCATGACTGAGAAACATTTAAACCATGTTGTCAGGAAGTACCTGTTTTCTAGGTTTTAGAATATATTACGTAAACAATGAAAATAAAACAGAGTTAAAAGCCACTCATAGAGGCTCTGCCGTGTGAACCTCCAGAGGGAAAAGTAAGCTTCTGCTGTAATACCCAGTAGAGACAGTCACCCTAGTTCCTGTGTTCTCTGGTTCATTCTTTGTGACAGGCTTCCTAAGCTGAGGGAAGGTAAGCCCCCTCTTTTCTTTCCTTTCGGGAATTGGGTAAATTTGGCCAGCAAGTCTACTTCCTGCAGGAAGGGCATCATTGTGAAGACTAATCCTGAATGGGGACGCTGACCTGATTCTCTCTGCTTTTTCTCTCACTTCCCTGTGGAGAAGTTAAATGTCTTCTTTGTGTACTCACAAATCCACTGTGCCCATTTCTGTCACAGCAGCTTTCTTGTTATTTGTAAACCCGTGTTTATTCATCCATCTCCCTCACCAAGGGTTTTTAAAAACAGGCATCCTGTTCTGGTGGTGTTTGTACTCAGAACTTGGCTTAATATTACTTTTTGATTTATTGTTATGTAATAAATATTTATGTTATGTATATATTGTGTGTATGTTATAAAACATTTTAAATTATTGAACCCTAAACCATGTCACAGAATAAGAACCCCAGGAACAGAGAGAATGCGTACTTTGACCAGGACAGATAGGGACTCAATCAGTCTGGTTCCACAGTGTGTTGAAGAAAGACAAGAAAAACTTGAAATAGCTAAAAGTTGTTAAAAATTTGTTTTAAATTGTCCTTGTTTCCATAACTAACTCTCACTGGCTGTTAATCTGACTTAGACATTTTGAATATCAGATCATGAATATCTGAGAGATAATGGGGAACCTTTGCCTATGCAAAGTCAAGCATAAAATTTTATTCTCAAAATAATTTCTTTAACCTCACCTGCAGATTCTGTGGTAGAGATGGCACTGGTTCATTTTTTATGATGCGTGGATTTGACTCTCAAAGACTTGGTGTGTTTCTTCTTTGTGTTGGTGGCCATCTGGTTCAAACTGTGTTATTACAGGTTTTGCTTACAGTTCTGTTAAATCCACAGTTCTCCAGAATAATGTCCTAGCTTAAGATTTTCTTTTTTAACTTGTGCTATTTCCTTGAAAAGAAAATTCTTCCTTTACAAAGTTAATTTTTTTCTTCATTTTCCTCCTAGCTTGCCCCTTGCTTTGCATCAAAGATGAATGTATTCTGCATCCATTTTGTAACTTATTCAGCATCACAGGTTCTTCATTGTGGCTTCTAGAGAAGTTTCTCACTCTATTTAGGTTGAAATATTTCACTGATGCGTGTCTATTTGCTCCATTATCTCATTTAAGAAACAATTCTTACTAATAATTATTCTTGGTCAATAATGAGGTGGGGGGGGGTGGCAACCAAAGAACCATAGTGTTGCCTTGTGTGCATTTTAGAATATAGTTTTTCTTATCACAGTTGTGTGTTATTTCTTTTTATGTGTATTTAGACTTAAATGTTACTTCAAATGGTGATGCTTGTAATTTCTTTTTTTTTCTTATGCAGTAGACTGTAGCACTTCAGCAATGTTGTGTTTTTCTAGTACCCTTCTTATTAAGACAAACCCTAGGCAGCAGTTTGAATAGCGTCTCCTACTCCAATTTGAAAATCTTGGTGTACAAGCTTAGTTTACTGTTTTTTCTTAACTCTGCAATTATTTTGGCAGGTAGACATACAGGTAATTTTAGAATTTTCTTGGAATTTCTATTCTTTATAATAGGTAAGATCATCACTTTTTAGTATGGGCAGTTGATCCTGAAGCATCTTTATTCTATAAAATGCCTATTTCAGAAATTTTTTCATTTTCCCCGTGATTACTTGTCCCATTTCTTGTAATATAATTGGAATCTGAAATACACTGAAGATAGCATGGCCAAATATACTGAAGATATCATAGTTGGGTTCTATCACCATTACCTATAATTGTGTTAAGAGTTTTTGTAATGCTTAGGCCTACAATGTCTTGGGACTACTTCCTGTTCTGTGACTATGTTCATGTATGCTTGTTAAATTTTTTTAGTTTACCAACATATAACCATGTGATAATAAAAGCTCCTTACCATTTTCATTCAAACTAATCTTATTTTACACACTTTAATGTGTGACATGTATCTTAACTCTAATGGTAAATTTTCTTTAAGTTAGAATACCACTTAGTTATAACAAGCCCAGATTTTATTGACAGAGTAGGAGCATCCATATACCTCTAATTGAAAAGGAAACAAAATTAAAGAAGATTTCATATGCTTTGCATTTCTCATCTCCCCACAGAAGAGGATATGTGTAGATAAAATAAGAATTAACAGCTGACTTCTCACTAGAAGCAGTGGAGGATAGTGGGAGTAGGATGGCATATTCCAAGAGCTGGGGGAAGAAAA